GTGCAAGAGAGAGCCCCGAGACCCAAGAGAACAAAGAATTTATAGGGCTTGGGGCCGGGGGTTGGGGCAGGGTGCAGCTAGGGTCTGGTTACACAAAGACAGGGGGAGTGGCCAGCATACTTTTGGCCTTGGGCTAGTTTCCCCCACCTTCCCATTGGCCGATACACCCTGTGACTTTTTTCTTGGAAGAGGGGTTAAGGACACAGCCATCAGTCCTGCTATGTCCTTTCAGGAGGAAGAGGTCAGGGTGCTTTTTCTCCTTCCCATCTGCCTTGGTGGCATCTCTGGCTACACATCCTCCATGACTCCTACTCCCACTGACAGGCCTGATATGGTTCAAACTTCTGATCACCTAGTTCTTGGGTGCTGGTGACATACCCTCCCCCCTCAGCCTCTCTGCCTTATGGGTGGCAGTGTTTTCCTATTCTTGCTAAGCTCTGGGATGCCTCTCTGTACTGTATCCTGTCACTTATGTAACCAGTCTACCACTTATGTAAATACTTAAAGTGTCTTCTTTTCCCTCAGTCAGACCTGAACTGATCCCCATCGATCCACCACACCTTCGCAGGGCACCCACTCAGGGCCAGCCTCTGTGCAAGATACACTGGGCAAGAGGTGCCCCTAGGCTAAGGAGTGAAGTGAAAGCCTCAGGATATGCCAATCCCTACTGAGACATCTCTAAACCCCACAGAATTTACAGGCAGATCCTGCCATAGTGTGGGCTTCCTCCTGCTTCCAGAGGCCAAAAACAATGTGTAGGACCCTTGCTATGTCCCCTTCACTGCCCACTGCACAAGTGGGGGATGCTTCCAGATGGGGGTGGAAAAGCCTATTGGCTTTCACTTCCTCCCAGCCAAATGCTCCTATCAGCAGCTCTCAGGTTCAGGCTCCCACAGCTTACTTTCTACTCCCTCCCTCTATCTTCCAAATAGCCTTACCTAATAGTAGGAGGAGTCTTTTCCAGAGTATTCGCCTTAGCAAAATGCCAGGAGTGAACTGACCATAAAGGCTAACAATGGAGAGAAGCCAGAGGTACTGAGTACTGTTAAGATAGCTACATACCTGGCATGGGGTTTTGTAGACAAACAGACTGAATATAAAACCTTTTTTCCCCATCTGAAATCTTAAGGCTTTGGCAATTTAGACAACCATTCTGAGCTTCCATTTTCTTATCTATAAAATAGAGACAATAATTGTCTTTCTCACAGAGTTATTGTTTCTAGTCTGGCAACTTCCAGAAACATGATCAATTATTCTAGTGTAGATGGGCCTCCCATCACACCCCCTGCTACAGACACAGAGATGCTGGATGCAAAATACCAGAAGTGTTATATTTGTATTGCCAATTTTGAAAACTATAAAAAGAAATCATCAGATGTCAGAAAGGAAAAACAGGGTACAGGTGATGTGCCTTAGCAGCACATACGGAATTCCCACTCAGCTACAAATCCTGAGAGCTGAAGGCCAGGTTCCACTGTACACTAAGGAGTAGGACACGGGGCTTAAGTCCCAGTCAGGTGAGGAAGCTTGAGCCCGCCCCCTACATAAAGCCCTGACATTGGAAGCTCTGCCCCCTTCCATGAAAAGGAGACTAGAAAAACTATACCCCAGGGTTGGGAAAGTTGCAAGGATGCTTGATGTCTGAAGGCCTTAGATGGGGGGAGAAATTATCCAAGGGATACGAATTTATGATGATTAAAACAGAGAGCTAAGCCCTAACCGGTTTGGCTCAGCGGATAGAGCGTCAGCCTGCGGACTCAAGGGTCCCAGGTTCGATTCCGGTCAAGGGCATGTACCTTGTTTGCGGGCACATCCCCAGTGGGGAATGTGCAGGAGGCAGCTGATTGATGTTTCTCTCTCATGGATGTTTCTAACTCTCTATCCCTCTCCCTTCCTCTCTGTAAAAAAATAAAATATATTTTTAAAAAAATATAGAAAAAAAGGACACATATGTAATACCCTTTGTAATACTTTAAGCAATAAAAAAATAGAGAGATGAGAATAGAATAGTATGAGAGGGGGAAAGTTGGGAGATTTTAAAAAGAATCATATAATACTTCCAGAAATGAAAAACATTAAAAACTGAGTTGAAGAGATGGGTTAGGAATCTGGGGAGGTCAAGGTATCAAACGTTCATAGGGAAGAATATCAGAAAAGACAGCTACACACAAAAAAAAATCTCTGGCTACTGAACCACATGAGCAATTCTCTATAATATATGAGTCTTCAAGCATACATATGAGGAGACTATCTGAGGCCAGTGAGAGAACCATCTAAAAAGGACTAGAAAGAATAATTTTTTAAAAATATGTATTTTTTTATTTTTAGAGAGAAAGGAAGGGAGAGGGATAGAGAGATAGAAACATCAATGAGAGAGAAACCTCATCAATCGGCTGCCTCCTGCATGCCCCCTACTGGGGATCAAACTTGTAACCCAGTCTTGTGCCCTGACCTATGCCCTGAATCAAACTGGTAACCTCTTGGCTCATGGGTCCACACTCAACCACTGAGCCACATAGGCCAAGCTTAAAGATTTTTTAAAAATTGATTTTTAGAAGGAGAGAGGGAGAGAGAAACATTGTGTGTGACCCAAACATCGATAGGCTACCCCCTGCACACCCCCTACTGGGGATGGAGCCCACAACCAGGGCGTGTGCTCTGACTGGGAATGGAACTGGCAACCTCTTGGTGCACAGGATGCCACTCCAACCAACTGAGCCACACTAGCCAGGGCTAGAAGGAACAATTCTTGGAGATCCTATAGGTGTAGTTTCTATTCCCAACGTTCAGAGTGGTAAGGCACATTTCACAAGGCATCAAGTGAGCTTTGCCATAATAATGGGCAAAATTACCCCCAAACTCATGTTACTCTGGTCCCATCTAAAAAGCTTAAAAGTAGTAAAAAACTATTTCCAAAAAGCTAAAGGACCCAACCAGAAGGACCCATATGAGGGGGAAAGTCAGTCAACTGAAACTAACCAAGACAGCTATAATGGATAAATAAGGACATTAAAACAGTTATTACTGTATTCTATGTAAGATGCTAGCTAAAAGACTGGGCTTGTTAAATAGAGAAATGGAAAGATAAAAAAGACCCAAAATCACAGAAACAGCAAGCATACTCAGTGTTCATATCTTGATTTCTAAATACCATTTTCCAGTAAAAGGAACCATGGCTCTTTAGAGATATGGTTGGTTGCAGATAAGGAGCAGGGAAAGTACAAGATGATCCTGGAGTATGTTGTAGTGCCAGAAAGTAAGCGAATGCTCAAAAACACCCACAAAAGGATGGGAGGAAGTATGTCAAAGAGACACAGAAGCCAACCACAAAGAGCATTCAATGGTCAAGGCAACGAAATAAATAACATAGTGTTGGATAATAACCCCAAATGTAAAATAAATAAATATCCAAATTGATATTAAATGATTGAATAAATAAATAAGGGAGAAAAAAATAACTCTTCCATACAGAAGAATTCCAAATAACATATGTAAATACTCTCCCCTCTCCAGGCGGTAGAATTTAATCACTTCCCTCCCCCTGCTTATGGGCTAAACTTAAAGACTTGCTTCCAATGAAGAGTATGGAAAGGGAAAAATAGTAGCTTCACAGTAGGAAAATCTAGCAAAACTACCTTAGCCAAGTGATTAAAATTTATATCACCAATGATGTCATGTGGATATCATGTGCCCTGTGATTTAACAAGGACATTTCACCTCTATGCTATTCCTTTTTAAAACCCATAAATCCAGTCTAATAATCATGACAAGAACATTAAGCAAACTCAAAATTAAGGGGTATTCAATAAAATACATGACCAATACTCATCAAAACGTTCAAGGTCATGAAAAACAAGAAAAAGACCGAGAAACTGTCATGGGTCAAAAAAGACTAAAGAGACATAACAACTAAATGAAATTTGATTACCTTGATTGGTGTGTATTTTCTAGATGCCTTTATCAGGTTGAGGAAGTTCCCTCTATTTCTAGTCTGTTGAGTGTTTAGTAGTAATTGCTCTTTATGCATCTGCTGAGATGATACTGAGCAAAACCAGCTAGGTCAGTGTTTCTTTTTTTTTTTTTTTTTTAGATTTTGGTGAAGAAAAAATTTTAATACCTCCACAATAATACAATGTTAACAAAAATTGGCCAGGTACGGAGGTTATTTTAGTGAGCTACCATCATTTAAATATAAGAAAAGCAATTTCTCAGTTCAAATTAGTGAAACCTTAAAAAAGATTGTCTCTAGAGAACATTATTTGAGAATAATGCTTTTTCTGACACATTATGACACTCAAATTTACTTTATAACAACAATGATAAACTTTTGATTCTTGCCCTAACTGGTTTGGCTCAATGGATAGAGCGTCGGCCTGCAGACTCAAGGGTCCCAGGTTCGATTCTGGTCAAGGGCATGTACCTTGGTTGCGGGCACATTCCCAGTAGGGGGCGTGCAGGAGGCAGCTGATCAATGTTTCTCTCTCATCGATGTTTCTAACTCTCTATCCCTCTCCCTTCTTCTCTGTAAAAAATCAATAAAATATTTTTTTAAAAAAAAAACAAAAACTTTTGATTCTTTCTTTCTTAAAAAGCTGTCATATTTTCATTTCTTCGGGAGACATTCTCC